TCTGGTGTTGTATGGTTTGATTCCTTCTACAAATCATTTTATTCAACAATTGTGTTTTTAACATCGACTTCACTTTATTGAATACGAATTTTCTTACAAACACGTGAAGTGGAAATGAACATATTACTGGCGTTTTGAGTTAATTTCTTTCAGATTAGACAAGACAAGATATATTTTTTGCAGTATTAGAATGTAGGAGGAGTAAAAGAAGATTACTTAAAGAACAACAGGGGCAATAGAGTAAAAATGACAGAGAAAATATWTAACGATGCTAAAAGAGGATTTTTGTTCTCACCTGAAGAGCAGCAGCACGGCCTGAGGGAATGTCTGGAAATTGTTGTTCCTGTTGATTTGCGTGTGGTCCCGCAGAGCTATCTTACCAAACATCTGCACAGGAAATGAGGTCAGAGTTATAGAGCAACAGTCTAAATAAAATCAAAATGTCTCCTACTGATCATCAGTTAAAACAAACTATACAATAACAGCTAACTTCAAAAGTGAAGAATGATAAGATGACCAAAAGGGAACTCTGGTAGACAGACGCTGAATAAAGATTTGTTGCAATAGAAGGATAAAACAAGGACAATAAATAAAAGGAGGAAATTAAGCAGCTTACCTGCATGCCAATGACGGCGTATATGAAGAAGAGCATCACTATAAGCAGAGCTACATAGGGCAGAGCCTGAAAGGAAAAGAAACACATGAGTGACGAGTCATCTGTCTGAAAACCACAGGTACAAACACCATTCTGAACAGAAACTAAAGTCTAATTTCAACTAATTTAAATGAAGTTTTATCAAACATAAAGGAGAAAAAAAGTCTATCTTTCTGTCTAATTTTATTGTTCAATCAAAGGTTCTTTGAGCTCTTAAGTGTGGAAAAAGTCCAGTAAGAGTTAAGAAACATGAGGAAATTAATGACAAAGAATGTCCATAATAATAATATTGGTTCCTTTGTCCTAACTTTAATTCTAACAGTTCAGAGAGACTGCAAAACTCCCTTTACTCCCTTTAAACTCCCACTTTACATCATCCCTCACTGTTGTCCTCTCTGTGACTTTCTGGTCAAAAAAAAGTTCTATGAAAATTCAACAACCGAATTATCAAAAGATCCCAGCAATTTTCAGTGTGCAGTGGATTAATTTTATCAGTAATGTTGATCTCAGCAACACAAGGGGACCAAAATTCAAAACTAGGCCCAAACCAAGGGCCAATTTCTGTCAATATTTAAGGAAAAAACATTACATAATAAATAATTCTTATAGAAATACCAACAACCTTTCCAAATTATGTTTTATAGCAATTAGAACATACATAATGAACATAGATTAAATATAAAAAGACTCACCATTTACCATTCATTTCATACCCCATACTCTCATCAACAACTTTTTCATTCATTATATTATTTTTATCAACATCCAGCAAATCAATATAAAAAATAAAACCTTCACTAAGAATCCAGTTGCTTGATGTTAAAATAAGAAGAGAATAAAGAAAAAAGATAATTAAAGTCAATWTTCTGTGGCTCTTTCTACATCGAAATCAAAGATTACTGAAAATTTTAAACTTAATTTTGTTGGCCTGATAGTTTGCCGGCTGTCATGAGAAGACAGGATTAAATACAGTAACAAACAAAAAGAAACTATAAAGCTATTTAAATTTTACATTATTACCTTTAGGGCCAGATAGAACAATGATGAGGGCCAGATTTGGCCTGCGGGCCTTCAGTTCGACACATTAGACAAATAGATTATATTACTGAAATTTGATCAGTTTTTAATGGTTCTATATAAAAAGGTGAAGGTCAAATTTTTATTGTGTCCTGTGTAAACCCAAACCTGTGCACCTGTGGTTCCTCGCTCACCTGGAAGGATTTTATGAAGGTCCACAGCAGTGTCCGAATCCCCTCCCCACGAGACAGCAGCTTCACCAGCCTCATCACACGGAACAACCGAAAGAAGGTGATGGAGATCCTGGCATTCTCCTCAGAGTTCTGAAGACCCTTTTGATGGGATTTTGTGATTTTTTTTAAGAAACGGGACACAGGGGAACACATGCACATAAGTAAGGAAAGGAAACACTCACATTCGTAGGCACACAAAAACACACGTCAAAGTGCACACACCCAAGCAGTTTGTATGCATGTTTCCACAAACACGGATGGAAATATGCATGACACAGTTACACACAAACACACTGAGTTAATCAGCATCCCCAAAAAATCCCATCAATATCAAACGACAGAACTGGGAGAAAATTGATCAATCGTGCTTGTTTTGTTATGACTTCATGGAAAAATCACTTGGCAATTACAAACAATCCACCAACTATTCAGTCAAATAACAGATGTCGTCTTCATTGTATTTAAAGGAAGATACTGACGCTCTTTGCTGACCAAACCTCTATTTCATATTTGTTCAAATCCTTTGTGGCAAATAGAAATTTTAATAAATATATTTCATTACATCTACCTCCCAACACGATTTGACTATTCTAATCCTCAACAAACTTTAACATTAAAACTCAAAACCCACTTTGCTTACATAACCAAGTCACGCTTTTGACATATATGGGAACTTTTACTTTTTATTTGACAAACATAAGGACATTTTTCTACTTCCAACAGCTCATGAAGTCAACAGGAAATAACTCCCCGATTAAATATTTACTCAAAAAAAAAAAAAAAAAAACTGAGTGCTGTTCTAATACGGATTGATTTATTTATGCTACTCTTGGTTGCTCTCGGGGACAAAAATGCAAAAAGCAACATCAGGATTGCAGAACAAGATGCAGGAAATACTGGAGACGAGAAATGACCAAAGATGTTATTTACAACCCGTGTACTAAAAGTTGCATGTATCCAGTTAAGACTCTTAAAAATGTGTTGTATATAAATGCACCAGCATGTTTTAATAAGTTTGACCTGACTCATTATATAATATGTCAACAACCAGAGCAGATCAGAGGCCTGTCTTTAGGTTTTAAATGAATGAATGTGACCCAACCAACAGAATCTGTCTGACCACTCAGTCTGTTTGCCAGTTGTGTTTTTCCAAGAAGCCATCGATACTTTATATTAATCCCACAAAGAACACACAATGTGCTCCAACAAAGAACATGTCATTCTTCACTTATCTTATTATGGCAATTAGAAATTATTCACACTATCACAATTATGCTCAGTATAATTCCAAATTTAATACTTCTTTTAAATTTAAATCGTTCTCAAAAAATATATATATATATATAGCCTATATGAAAGTCATGTTTTCGAGTTCTCCCAAAACTCCACTGACAGATATGCTGAAAATGACACATCCTTCAGGAGCAGAAACCACAACTCAGTACCATGAGCAATACTACAACTGGACCACAGTGGGCGCCACTGCACCAATGAGAGGGATGGGGCAGTGGGCAGGAGAGGTGTAGGAAATAACGAGTGATAAAGAGAAAAGAGAAGGGAGAGGCTGAAGATGAGAATATATATATTTTTATTTGAAGAAATCTAAACACAAGTGCTGATTTAAGACAGAGAGACAGAACAGATCGATCAGTGGAAAAGAGTGATGGCGTGACCATGACAGGTTGTACCAATGTCAAAGTGGGAGAGAGAGAGACCACACCCAGAATGGATGGAAACGAGCTGTGGTGGAGGTGGGCATCATGGCAACAGCATGGCCGCTCAAAGACAGTGGTGCTTCCAGAAACTGTTCAATGGGGGCGGCCATGAGGATATATATAT